ACCGACCGACCGACCGACCGACCGTTGGCACCAGGCGCGCCAGCCCAAAAGAGCACGAAGAGAGGCCGCCGAGGACGACAGCTTAGGGATATGGCTGCAAAGAAAGAAAAAATAGGCATGCCATGTGTACGAAGTACGACGCTGGTTTGTGTTTGGTTCTCCCGTGCAGGAGCCTGCAGCAGAGGCACACGAGGGAGCGCCGCGCAATGAGACAGTGACTGTTGTCTGTCTGGGAGTGATCAAGGCTGTCGACCCGAGCGCACAGGCGACGATCTTTACCTTACGGTGTGTGCGGTGTAGCGTTTTGTTGGTGCTTCAACATGCTCCAATTGAAAGGTCGTACAAGCTGAAGATGACAATGACGAGCCTGGCATCACCCGGGTGAATCCGGCATGTCCAGCTCTGCGTGCACATTTGGGGGGCCGTTCCAAACAGAAATGCAATCAGCGTCGTGTGATCAGGTCTCCTAGCATCGATGACATGTCAATGTGACATGTGCACTATAAGGGTTTCTCCGTTTCAGTGAGGGGCTGGCATCTTGGGCATGGAGCTTTAGTTCTCGCGAAAGTTTCGTTTGCTGTGGTCCCAAAGCCTAAAGCCCAGACAGTTTTCGTTGTTCGGCTTCGGAAAAATTTGGTGGCTTCGCCTGGCAGAGCGACGACCCGCTATACTCCCGACCTGTGGAATATAGCACAAGCGACATAGACATGTATCTGAACCTAACACCTCGCCGGGTCGAACGAGGGGTCGCCAAGTGACACAGAGCAAGATTTACATCTTCTTGGCAGTTGGAGCGCTTGTGCGCAACAGTGGACCAGAAGGGAGCAGGCATTTCAAAGGTGCGCTGCTGAAGTGATGCTCGCTGAAGTCAATAATATTATTACATGGACTGATGAAAATGTGCGCAGACCGACTTGAATGCACTTCTCGACCACGGCATCCATTGCGACGGAGCCCTGGGTGCTCGTTGTCATGTGTTGCTGGAGCCAGCAGATTGTAGCAAGAACAGCCGTAGGAAAAAAACTGCCGTTTTCGGGTCTCCCTGGTTTGTGTCACGCGGCGTCATGGTGGCCGTTGTCCTGAACGGACTTTTGCCGGCTGAGGTTGAGACCATCGCATTCATGCCTTTGCGAAAGCTGTGAAAGCCTCAGCTTTGACTTTGAAGCAGGCGTCTCATTCTGTCTCGCCCTTCGCACCGAGGCATGAGGTTAAAGGAATCGGCGAAACTAAAGCCGCGTCCTTGGATGAGCTGAGAGATTCGTATTGATGGTGCTTGTATTTCTTTGAAGATGGGCAAGGGCACTCCACATGTCCGCTGGTCTTCACGAGATCGAGAAAACTGGTTCGCCAGTGCTGAAGCTACCAAGCCTGAGGCAGCCCGAATCCATGCAGCTGCGAAGCAGCTAGTTCCAATGCGCATGGTGGGTGCCACAGACTGATGCAGAAGCGTGGCACTCTTGCAGACAGCAGCTTACACTTGAGGTCAGTGCTGCAGAAATGCTCCAGCTTCGGAAGAACATGGTCGGGGGCCATGCAAAGATCGTGTTGTAAGTTTCTTTTGACTTCGTTCCATGGCAGGTTCAAATTACCACAGGATCTGTCAAGCTGGATAGCTTGTTGAAAGGAGGAGTAGAGTCATGCCGGCGTGTTACTGCATTAGCCAATCACCAACATTGGTTTTTGTTGTAGATTTTGCCATCGCTGCTGCCTTGCCCCGTCGACACTTCCACAGCAACTGGATTCTGCCGTCTGCTGGAAAGCCACCTTCCACGCTCCTGTTGACCAACCTTGTCTGTAAACTTCCCTCAATCCTGATACAAGCCTTCTCAGACTATCAAGGTCTCAGGGACCCCGTCAGCAGGCTTACACAAAAGCAATCGAGCCGTGACGACATCGGAAGTCTTTTGGCTAATGTGTGCCAGGACCGGGCAAATCACCGAGGCCTCGCGGCAGCGCACCGCATTGGGGCACCGCATGGGACACCTTCCCAGAGCTTCTCTCGATTTTGCCCCGCTTGCACAGATCTTCGGTGAATTTCGTTGCGGCAAAACCCAACTCTGCCTGGTGCCTACGCATGAATCACGGTCTTCATAATCCTTAACATAAATGTCATCACGCAAGCTCCAGAAAGGACATTTTCCTGCATGACGCTTTGTGCAGACCAGGCCACACTCTCTGCGTGGCATGCCAACTGCCGATCAGCCGGGGAGGCGGTGAGAGCAAGGCCTGCAACTCCGTCCCCCGCAGCTCCGGTGCATCTGTTTACAGTTGCTGAGGCCTTGTACATCGATACAGAGGTTGGTGCCCAGTGCTGCTTCCACACGCCGCATGCCTCAACGCGGGATGCCTGCCTGGATCGCAGGGCACTTTCCGACCCGAAAGACTGGCAGACATAGCCAAACGCTACGGTTTGAACGAAGAGGCAGGATGGGGCAGCTCCTGGACCCGACATGGGTTCGATATAAGCTTACCTTAATTTTAAGTCCACCCTGCTTGATGTTCGGCCGCTTTGGTTTGTGACATGCATGCATGTGCACGGCAAGAGCAGATGAGAGGACGTTCTCGAGAATGTCACATATGCGCGGGCCTACAATGCCGAACACCAGGACAGCCCAGCTGATGTCACAGTGGTTGCGAGACATCACGCATTCACGCATGACACTTCTTGTCAACCCCCCTTGGTTTCGAAGCCGAAAGTCGGCTAAGCGGATTGTTCCAGCGGATCTGAAGATATCTGAAGGACAAGCTCCTTGTAGAAGCTGCCAGCGTGTTCTGTGAGTCAAGATATGTCCAAGGCCCAGTGGCTTTTGAGGTTCATTGGCTTTCCTAGCAGATGGCGTGCTGAGGCAGTCCTGATCGTGGACAGTGCGACTGGGCTCTTTCGCACCGACTACAGTGGGAGGCAGGGTGATGCAGGGTGAAGTCTGAAACTCGAAGATCTGCTCATCACTGATCGAAGACACTTCTAACATCTTCTAATATTGTCAACATCATGCGGTAATCATATTCATTATCACTACTGGTATCATTCTTCTAGTGATGTCCAGTCAAGTCGAGTTGTTGTACCAGCAGGGGAGAGCTGGCGGATCGCCAACAGGTGCGAACGGGTGTGTCCCCTTGAGCGAACTGGGGCAGTCTGAGCAGCGTGTGCATCAAGTGGCTAGATGCAGCTTGTGGGTTGCAGGCACTGAACCGTTTTCTACGGAAGCTGCAGCGAATAGCTGACGAGCACGGCGTTGCCGTCGTGATCACAAACCAGGCAGAGTGTGAGAGAGAGGATGCAGGAGTGTGCCACGTAAATGTCGCTAGGTCATGGCATCCCCAGAAAGCGGGCCAGCCGCTTACATGGGACCTCAGGCTGGGGCCGTAGGCATGTTTCCGCCATCTCTGAGAGGGGAGAGTGCAGAAGATTCCTACATCTTGCAAGCACCGAAGAGAGGAAGCCCGTCCCTGACAAGAGAGGGTCACCTTCCAGAGCCGCACCGGGAAAGCCGCAGGTAAAGCCAATCGGTGGCCACATCATCGGTCATGCAAGCCAGACACGCCTCTTCTTCCGGAAGGGCAAGGTGGTAACATGATTGCTGCATCTCTACTGCTTTCCACTAAGCTGGTCGGAGGGTATCACCCTGTGCAGGGGGAGACTCGTATTTGCAAAATTTATGACTCGCCTTGACCTCAGTTCTCAGTCGACGAGAGTAAAGTTCCATGCAAAGCCGTCTGTGTCGGGGATGCTTCCTTCGATGCACTTCGTTGGTCGAGGCCCTCCCTGCCGGAAGGCGAAGCCATGTTCGCTATTGATGCAGGCTGCCTCGGATAGGGTCTGCTGATGTGTGCTTGTCACTATGTGAACCAGGTGGAATTGTCGATGCGCCTGATGGCAAGTGATCTGGAAGAAGGCAGCGAGGCCGCGAGGCTTCTATGCGGCTTGCTTCTGAGTGGCATCGCGACAGCTATCTGTGATCGGACCGGCGTGGTGTTCCAACACCGCTGGAGATGTGTAGGGCTTCCTTGCCAGAGTGCTTGGTAACCGTCGTCGTTTCGACACTGCATTAAGTTCCCTGGCTTTGCACACCAGCCCCGAGTAAAGCTGCAGATAGGCAGCAACAGTTTCACGATGCTCTAGCCGACTCTAGCCGTGCATCCCAACATGTGTGGGATCCCAGCAACTATTGCTGGCAACAATTGAAAGACTTGTCAGTTTCCAGGCGCATGCAGAGGCTGCATGTCAAGCCTGCAAATGCATCACACGGATTTGCTTTGATGTCCTGATGTACTGGTTTACCCTTGCAGTGGTTGCTTTGCGCGGAGAAACAAATCTGGACATCAAAGCTCCTGAACAATGCAAGACGTAGCGACTGTCCATGGCAGGGGGCGCTCGGGCAGCTAAATTAGTCAAAAATGCTCCGCTTGAGGCTCGCAGCATGTGGTAGTTGTGGAGCTTCGTCCAGCAAGCTGTCTACTTAGCAAGGCTTAGATCCTCTTCGTCGTTTGCCTTTGGCTCCAACGAAGCTTCTGTGCGCGCATCGGCTGACCAGCCAACCCCAAGCTTGCGTTCTCGGATCTGTATGTCAGCTTACCCAAAGCAGAGTCACAAGAAGAGATTCAGCAGACACCGCAACATATCGTCCCTTCGCTCGTTGGAAGCAAGCTCATGTTGTCAGCTCGCTCCGCCACGAGCCTGGTTACCAGGAGCAGGTCCATCAGCTCTGCAGGCCTGTCAATGCCGTCAATGCCTGTCAAAAAGCGTGCCATGTGAAAAGCGGGTTTGCGTGAGTGCACTCACACCGGACGCCACAACCAAGGAGGCTATGACTATGTCATTGTCGGTGCTGGTTCGGCTGGTGCTGTTGTGGCCCATCGTCTTGTGAAAGACGCAGGCGCCAAAGCTCTTTCGCTGCAAGAGGGTGTGTTCTAAGTCTAAGGGTCGAAGGATTCTAAGGCTGGTGTCGGGTCTCCAACGGTCTCTGTGATGCCTCACGGTAGAACCGAGGTCCTCCTCATCGAGAACGGTAGCAGCCATCAGGGTCGATGGGATTGGTGGAAGATCAACATGCCCGCTGCGCTGACTTTTAATTTGGCCAACGCCACTTGGTTCAAGTAGCGATCCGCGGTTGGGGCGGCCTTGTGGACGCTTCTCTGAGGCCAAGTACAACTGGGACTTCTACACGGTCCCCCAGCGGCACATGGATGGCCGACGCTTACACCAGCCGCGCGGTCGAGCTCTGGGCGGGTCCTCGAGCCTCAACGCCATGGCCTACGTGTGCCTTGGCTCGGCTGGCTCGGCTCGGGCTCGGAATCAGCAGGCAGATCTTGAAGGGCTCTGTTCTTAAACTTCATTTCGTCTGATCATGTCCTTTGGGCAATGTGCAGGAGAGGCCACGCCCTTGACTACGAGCGCTGGGCACAGGAAATCGGTGAGGGTGGTCATGCCTGGGCCTACAGGACACATCCCAGAGTTCTTGAAGGGCTGCCAGGTAAAATGTGTGCAGCATCCTGTGCGAGTAGTCTCCAGTCCAAGCGGAAACTCTTGATTAAAACATCCCCCCCCGAAAGGTAGGTTAGCTGGTGGCCCCCCCTCAGATAAATTTGGCGGGCTTCGGGCTTGCCACCCAACGCTGCTTCTAGGGTTTTGTAGGCCAAGGCTTACGCAGCTCTGTCCTCAAGGAGCATGCGGGAGATGCCGGCTATAGGAATCAAGGTCGGGACTGAAGGTTGAGGTTAGGGTTTTAGGGTTTAGGGGGTTGAGGGTTGAGTTTAGGGTTGAGGTTAATTAGGGTGATACGGCTTCGTTTTTGACTTCAGTTTCCTGGGCTTGGGTGCTTTACGCTTTAGGGCCGAAGCCTTAAATCGTGTAAGGTTGGGGCTTAAGGCCGAAACCCTCACCTGAAACCCTCGACCCGAAAACCTCAGCAGTCAAGCAAAAGCAGTAGCAAAACACGATTGTTCTGCGACGGCCGGATTATTAATGGGGGGGTTGCCTTGCCTGGGCTAGGCCTTTGCAGGCTTGAAAAACTGAGTGCTTTACACAGGCCTTTGATTCAAGACTTCTTACTTGGCCACCTTTGGAATTTCTTCACTCCAGCCCTGTTTAATGTTCAGGCTTGCTTAATGTGGAGCCTTTGCAGTCATCAGAGAAACGCCAACCATGTAGAGGCTCACCCTTACTGTTGACATGCCTTGCAGAGACTGTCCCAACTTCCCACGAAACCCTGAACCCCAAACCCCGGACCCCAACTTGCACCCAAAACCCTGAACCTCTAAACTCAACACCCTGAACCCTGAACCCCTTCTAAGTCTGC